GATATACACCTGAAAACAGCAGGAGAGGACTCTTTAAAGTAGAGACACTGTAGTACATACTGAGATCACACCTGAACATCAGCAGGAGAGGACTCTTTAAAGTAGAGACACTACACTGATATACACCTGAACACAGCAGGAGAGGACTCTTTAAAGTGAGACACTACATACTGATATACACCTGAACATCAGCAGGAGAGGACTCTTTAAAGTAGAGACACTACATACTGATACACCCTGAACATCAGCAGGAGAGGACTCTTTAAAGTAGAGAACTACACACTGATATACACCTGAACATCAGCAGGAGGGACTCTTTAAAGTAGAGACACTACATACTGATACACACCTGAACATCAGCAGGAGAGGACTCTTTAAAGTAGAGACACTACATACTGATATACACCTGAACATCAGCAGGAGAGGACTCTTTAAAGTAGAGACACTACATACTGATATACACCTGAACATCAGCAGGAGAGGACTCTTTAAAGTAGAGGCACTACATACTGATATACACCTGAACATCAGGCAGGAGAAGACTCTTTAAAGTAGAGACACTACATGCTGATTATACACCTGAACATCAGCAGGAGAGGACTCTTTAAAGTAGAGACACTACATGCTGATATACACCTGCACATCAGCAGGAGAGGACTCTTAAAGTAGAGGACACTACATACTGATATACAACCTGAACATCAGCAGGAGAGGGACTCTTTTAAAGTAGAGACACTACATACTGATATACACCGAACATCAGCAGGAGAGGGACCTCTTTAAAGTAGAGACACTACATACTGATATACACCTGAACATCAGCAGGAGATGACTCTTTAAAGTAGAGACACTACATACTGATATACACCTGAACATCAGCAGGAGAGGGACTCTTTAAAGTAGAGACACTACATATTGATATATACACCTGAACATCAGCAAGAGAGGACTCTTTAAAGTAGAGACACTACATTACTGATATACACCTGAACATCAGCAGGAGAGGACTCTTTAAAGTAGAGACACTACATACTGATATACACCTGAACATCAGCAGGAGAGGACTTCTTTAAAGTAGAGACACTACATACTGATATACACCTGAACATCAGCAGGAGAGAACTCTTTAAAGTAGAGACACTACATACTGATATACACCTGAAACATCAGCAGGAGAGGACTCTTTAAAGTAGAGACGCTACATTACTGATATACACCTGAACATCAGCAGGAGAGGACTCTTTAAAGTAGAGACGCTACATACTGATATACACCTGAACATCAGCAGAGAGGACTCTTTAAAGTAGAGACACTACATACTGATATACACTCTGAACATCAGCAGGAGAGGACTCTTTAAAGTAGAGACACTACATACTGATATACACCTGAACATCAGCAGGAGAGAACTCTTTAAAGTAGAGACACTACATACTGATATACACCTGAACATCTGCAGGAGAGGACTCTTTAAAGTAGAGACACTACATACTGATATACACCTGAACATCAGCAGGAGAGAACTCTTTAAAGTAGAGACACTACATACTGATACACACCTGAACATCAGCAGGAGAGGACTCTTTAAAGTAGAGACACTACATACTGATATACACCTGAACATCAGCAGGAGAGGACTCTTTAAAGTAGAGACGCTACATACTGATATACACCTGAACATCAGCAGAGAGGACTCTTTAAAGTAGAGACGCTACATACTGATATACACCTGAACATCAGCAGGAGAGGACTCTTTAAAGTAGAGACACTACATACTGATATACACCTGAACATCAGCCAGGAGAGGACTCTTTAAAGTAGAGACACTACATACTGATATACACCTGAACATCAGCAGGAGAGAACTCTTTAAAGTAGAGACACTACATACTGATATACACCTGAACATCAGCAGGAGAGAACTCTTTAAAGTAGAGACACTACATACTGATATACACCTGAACCATCAGCAGGAGAGGACTCTTTAAAGTAGAGACAGTACATACTGATATACACCTGAACATCAGCAGGAGAGGACTCTTTAAAGTAGAGACACTACATACTGATATACACCTGAACATCAGCAGGAGAGGACTCTTTAAAGTAGAGACACTACATACTGATATACACCATCTTTCTGCTTTGTGTGAAATAACCCGAGCCTTTTCTCGTTTTCAGGGGAAATCTGGACCGTGCGATCGACATGTTCAACAAGGCCATAAACCTGGCCAAGTCAGAGATGGAGATGGCTCACCTGTACTCGCTATGTGACGCCGCCTACGCTCAGACCGAGGTGGCCAAGAAGTACGGGCTGAAGCCTCCGACTCTGTAACGCCAACACATCTCTGAACCCTCCGTGTTAATGTCTCACCTAACTCTGATTTGTAAAAAAGAAAAAAAAAAATACAACAAAGAGCCCTGAGTATAATATACACAGTGTTTACGTCACATGACGGGGGTTGCTATCATAGAACGAAGGATCCATGCTCACCATGGCTGCAGTGCTGGCCTCTGGTGGCAGGTGTGGGGCAGTTTGGGTGTTCTTAAAGTGGTTGTATGAGCAATGGGAACAGTCAGGTGATACAGGATGGAGAAACAGACAGGAAGCCGGACTCCACTGAGAAGACGAGTCACTGATCGCGGGAGTTTCTGGTCTTACGCTGCCTTGATTAATAGGTGTACGATGTGCTATCAGACATGATGCTTTGAACAGTATTGATCACACAGATGCTTATGGGAACTTTTTCAAGTTCATCCAGATCTAAAAGCTCTCGCTAACTTCCTCTCGTATCTCCTGGGACTCAGAAGGCTGGTCTCAGCATCGCAACATTATGACTTTTCTCTCAATTCTAAATATTTTCTTAAAATCTTAAAATCCTGACTTTTTTTCTCAACATTTCAAAAATAATGACTTTCTTTTTCAAAATCTAAATATTCTGACTTTTTACTCAATTGTCTTCTTTCTCAGAAAACAAAAGATATAATATAATGATAATAATACTTTGGTTATCTGTCATCCAAATACAAAACAAGTATTAGCATAAATATATTGTGTTTTGAGTTTTTAAAGAAAGACACTTCAGAGTGACTCGTGACACACATGAAGGCTTTGTTTTGGTGACGTTGGGGTTTCCAAACTAACCGTATCAGATCTAACCGATGGAGGCAGGCGCCAGAAACTCCTGCTGGAAAGACTGTTCCTCTCAATGCAGTCTGGTAGTCTAGCAGAGACGCCTCAGTCTGACCCGAGGTGAGGCTCTGAATAAAGCGTGCACTACCCGATATGTCCTAAAGCAATCGCTCAGCACTTCTCTGCTTAGCGTCTGTTTCCCACTGCAGGAGAACATCATGCAACCCCACTTTAAACATGCAAACTGCCCCTTTAACCCACCATTATCGGACCCTCAGAGGACACTGAGCGTTCTCTGTAGAGAGGAACACATGTCAACACGTCTAAATCTAAGCGAGTAGTAACCATGTGAAGTGTGCAGTCTGTTGATTTACTGACTTCAAGGCTTTCAAACCTGCAGAGAATACTGTGAGCTTTTTGAATGGACTGTTAATGTATGCTGATCTAAAGTGTGTGTGTGTGTGTGTCCCCCCCCCCCCCCCATCATCATCATCAACAACACACTCTTTGATTTCTGAATGGTTATAGTCCGTGTGTAACGTCTGTTTGTAACGCTGGAACTGATCCCATGGGTACGGGCTGCAGAGGTTAGCGGTTAGCTTAGCATCCTCAACTGTTTGTTTTTTAATTATGATTGGGATTGCTTGTTTCTCTAATTCTTTTTTTTATATACTTTGTGCAGCATGTTCACTTTATAAATAAATGTAAATGCAATGCTCGTGCTTGAACACCAGGAAACCATAAAGGTGTGTCTCTGATTAGAGAAACAACGTCATGTCTTTAGTTTGGTTTGTGTGCGCAGACGTCACGAGGGATCGGACAGCGTCGTGTTCCCGAGATTCATTCAGATTCATTTTTATTTTATTGTGAGATGTTTATTTTTCTGTCCTTTTCAAATGATATTGCCACGACCCGAGCCTGGTCGCGTCTTCTCCCGATGCAGGGCGTGGGTTGGCTCTCCAGTAGCATCCGTACTTTGTAAAGAAAATAAATAAAAGTATTTACATTTTATTGAATGTGTGGAAACGCCAAGGAACCGAATCATTGAAGCTGCAGCTGATGACGATTCCTCTCTGCAGACATGTTCTTACACTTTCAGGAACTACATGTAGCCACCAGCAGACACACAGACGGACACAGACACGCTCACTCACAGATACACTCACACACACTGTTTGATATAGATTACACTGACATATTTCGTGATCTGTACGGTGACCAAAGTGAAAGACAAAATGAATCCTAATAAAGTTATAACTTCCTGAAATCAATTTGAACTTTGCAAGATTTCCTCAAACCTCTACAACCTATTGATCTGTTGACTAATATGGATCAGTGATGACCAGTAACTGAGTACTCAAGTATTGTTCTCAGTCCTTCAGTATTTCCAGTTGCCGCTCTTCAATATTCCATTACGTCTCAAAGACTGTTCTTTTTACGACATCTGAAAGCTTTCCCTTCAATATGGAGACGAATGAAATACAGTATCACACAGATGCTTATGGGAACATCTTTGTTTCAAGTTCATCCAGATCTAAAGCTCTCGCTAACCTCCTGATATCTCCTGGGCCCAGGAGTTCAACACTTTTAATCCCCATCTGATCAGATCAGATCTGGATTTTGGGGAGTTCAAAACCAAACAAGATGAGGATCACTTTGATATCCGATCAGATCAGGAAATCCAATCCAAGCTTTAATCTGGATCAAATCTTCAAAACGGGTTCAAACCGACAACACAGGATTGGGATCAGTTTGATCCCAAAAAACTGGATTATCCTGATCCCACCAGAGGGGTGGGTTTCCAGTGGATTACCAGAGCAACATGTACTGTACCATTTATTGTTAAATATGTTTCAATTTAAATTAGATGGCAAAGTTTGTTAACTGAAATAATACACCATTTTTTGCCTTCATTGGAAATACATTTTATTTTTCCATTTTTTGCTCACGTTTGTGGCCTGTTTAGTTTTCAACCAAATGTTGATGACATAAATGTTTATGCTCATAAAAGTATCACAACAAAGATTGTCAATCACAAATGTAATTTCGATTAAATTAAAAATATCTTCAACAACAAAAAAAGTCCACCATCTGTCATCACTTTTCAGAAGTAAGTGCAGACAATAGATGTCTCTGCAATGTGGGCTCTTGTCTTCCTTGTATTATTTTTCATGTCCACTAGGTGGCGCTCGGTGGGATTAAAGCTCTGATATTCAGGATCTAGTCATCTTGAAAAGTCGTAATCTGGATCAGGGTGATCCTGAATTGCTTTGAACTCCAGGGACAACATTTGTCCGATTTGTCTGATCCTGGATCACAACACATGGGATTTCAAAATCTGATCGGATCTGATTGAGATGAAAAGCTTTGAACTCCTGGGCCCTGGGATCAGAAGGCTGGTCTCAGCATCTCGACATTATGGCTTTTCTCTCAAAACTCTAAATATTTTTCTTAAAATAAAACAATTCTGACTTTTTTCTCAGAATCTAAATATTCTGACTTTACTCAAAAGTGTCTCTTTTCTCCATAAAAAGAGATAATATAATTATAATACTTGAGTTATCTGTCAACCAAATACAAAACAAGTATTAGCAGAAATATATTGTTTTTAGTTTTTAAAGAAAGACACTGTGTATTTCAGAGAGAAGGAGCCTCGCGACACACATGAAGGCTTTACTTAATGACCTCTTAACCAAAATCAGACCGATTAGTTGATCAGTTGCAACAGCTCATTGATCACTGACGGCGGCCGACACGTCCACCGTGTCGACGTCGCTGACGTTGCTTCGTCATCAGAACCATGGCGGACTGTGTGGAGGAGGAAGCTCTTCATGGCAGCTGGTGAGCATCTCTCTCTATCTCACCTTCATCACACCTTCATCACACCTGTACTCCTCTGTCGAACACCTGGGCGAGCTTGACCTGACAGGGTGTCATGGTTAATATCTAAATATTACACTGCGTAGTTACTGTGTTCCTCTGGGTGCTACCCGTTAGCACATGCTAATGCTAATTAGCCTGGTTTGATTACATTCGTGTGTAGCCTATATACATCCGAGTTAAGAACATGAAGAGCTTCAGAGAAAGATCCGTCCAAGGATTTACGTTCCTATCACTTCATTTCTGCCATTGACTCGTATTAAGGGAAGCCTGTTAGCCAGTAAGCTAACAATAACTAGCCGGTGTTTCTTCCCTTTAAACCGAAGAGACATCCTGTCAGTTCCTCTAAGCCAGGGGGTCAAACTCAAACACACAGTGGGCCACAATTTAAAACAATGGGTACTAGTGGAGGGCCAGACTGGTAACAACTCATTGAAATGAACTTATTGCACATATTAAACCTGGAACTAACAAAGCTTAAATTATTGCTTATAAAAACAACATTACACATTAAATAATCAGTTGCATTCATTTCTGATGGCTCTATCTGCAGCTTCTCCAGAGTCATTTCTGATGGCTCTATCTGCAGCTTCTCCAGAGTCATTTCTGATGGCTCTATCTGCAGCTTCTCCAGAGTCATTTCTGATGGCTCTATCTGCAGCTTAGAGTCATTTCTGATGGCTCTATCTGCAGCTTCTCCAGAGTCATTTCTGATGGCTCTATCTGCAGCTTAGAGTCATTTCTGATGGCTCTATCTGCAGCTTAGAGTCATTTCTGATGGCTCTATCTGCAGCTTAGAGTCATTTCTGATGGCTCTATCTGCAGCTTAGAGTCATTTCTGATGGCTCTATCTGCAGCTTCTCCAGAGTCATTTCTGATGGCTCTATCTGCAGCTTCTCCAGAGTCATTTCTGATGGCTCTATCTGCAGCTTCTCCAGAGTCATTTCTGATGAGTACATTTCCCCACAGGCCAACAACAGCTTCAACAAAACTATTCCCTCACAGAGAAACCAAACATGCCCTGTTGTCCTGAGAGAAAGTGCAGAAGGAAGCATCCATTGAACTCAGTGTGCTGCTCTGTGATGCTAGCTCAGATACTTGGCCTCTCATCTTGGGTGCAAGGTCATCAATGTTTGGGCTCAGGCTCTGAGCGGAGGAGACCCTATGTGTGAGAGCAATATACCGGAGGGCCAGATCTAATAGCAATTAGAAAGTATCCTGCGGGCCCAAATTAAATCCACCAAGGGCCTGATTTGACCCCCGGGCCTTGAGTTTGACACATGTGTGCTTTAATGACACGAGTCTAACAACAGAAGGGTTCCTAAGAACATTCACCCAGGTGTTAGTCTGTACCCAGTCTGTACCCAGGTATTAGACTGTACTCAAGTATTAATCTTTACCTAGTCTGTACTCAAGTACTAGTCGGAGTACTAGTCTGAGTACTAGTCTGTACTCAAGTACTAGTCTGAGTACTAGTCTGAGTACTAGTCTGTACCCAAGTACTAGTCAGTACTTATCTGTACCAAAGTACACATCTCAGGTATTTGTATTTGAGTATTTCGCTCCATCTCAGAGGTAGAGATCGAACTTTGATCCAGTGAGAGCTTCAGTTCCATTTTACAGAGTGATGTTTAGACCGTCATCATTATGTTTTCTTTTATAATGAATACATTACGTATCATTACATTACGTATCATTGCATTACGTATCATTACATTACGTATCATTACATTACGTTACGTATCGTTACATTACGTATCGTTGCATTACGTATCATTGCATTACGTATCATTACATTACGTTACGTATCGTTACATTACGTATCGTTACGTATTATTACGTATCGTTACGTATCATTACATTACGTTACGTATCGTTACATTACGTATCGTTACGTATTATTACGTATCGTTACATTACGTATCGTTACGTATTATTACGTATCGTTACGTATCATTACATTACGTTACGTATCGTTACATTACGTATCGTTACGTATTATTACGTATCGTTACGTATCATTACATTATGTTACGTATCATTACATTACGTTATGTATCGTTGCATTACGTATCATTACGTTACGTATCATTGCATTACGTTACGTATCGTTGCATTACGTATCATTACATTACGTTATGTTTCGTTGCATTACGTATCATTACGTTACGTATCATTGCATTACGTTACGTATCATTGCATTACGTATCATTACATTACGTTATGTATCGTTGCATTACGTATCATTACGTTACGTATCATTGCATTACGTTACGTATCGTTACATTACGTTACGTATCGTTACATTACGTATCATTACGTTACGTATCATTGCATTACGTTACGTATCGTTACATTACGTATCATTGCATTACGTTATGTATCGTTGCATTACGTATCATTACGTTACGTATCATTACATTACGTTACGTATCGTTACGTATCGTTACGTATCATTACATTACGTTACGTATCGTTACATTACGTATCATTACGTTACGTATCATTACATTACGTTACGTATCGTTACATTACGTATCATTACGTTATGTTACGTATCATTGCATTATGTTACGTATCGTTACATTACGTATCATTGCATTACGTATCATTACATTACGTTATGTATCGTTACATTACGTATCATCGCATTACGTATCATTACATTACGTTACGTATCGTTACATTACGTATCATTACATTACGTTATGTATCGTTGCATTACGTATCATTACGTTACGTATCATTACATTACGTTACGTATCATTACATTACGTATCATTACATTACGTTACGTATCGTTACGTATTATTACGTATCGTTACGTATCATTACATTATGTTACGTATCGTTGCATTACGTATCATTACATTACGTTACGTATCGTTACATTACGTATCATTACGTTACGTATCATTACATTATGTTACGTATCATTACATTACATTACGTATCATTACATTACGTTATGTATCGTTGCATTACGTATCATTACATTATGTTACGTATCGTTGCATTACGTATCATTACATTATGTTACGTATCGTTGCATTACGTATCATTACATTATGTTACGTATCATTACATTATGTTACGTATCATTACATTACGTTATGTATCGTTGCATTACGTATCATTACGTTACGTATCATTACATTACGTTACGTATCGTTACATTACGTATCATTACATTACGTATCATTGCATTACGTTACGTATCGTTGCATTACGTATCATTACATTATGTTACGTATCGTTACGTATCGTTGCATTACGTTATGTATCGTTGCATTACGTTACGTATCATTACATTACGTTACGTATCGTTACATTACGTATCATTACATTACGTATCGTTGCATTACGTATCGTTACGTATTATTACGTATCGTTGCATTACGTATCATTACATTACGTATCGTTACATTACGTATCGTTGCATTACGTATCATTACATTATGTTACGTATCGTTACGTATCATTACATTATGTTACGTATCGTTACGTATCATTACATTATGTTACGTATCGTTACGTATCGTTGCATTACGTATCATTACATTACGTTACGTATCGTTACATTACGTATCATTACATTACGTTACGTATCATTACATTACGTATCGTTACGTTACGTATCATTACATTACGTTACGTATCATTACGTTACGTATCATTACGTTACGTATCATTACGTTACGTATCGTTGCATTACGTATCATTACGTTACGTATCGTTACATTACGTATTGTTACGTATCATTATGTTACGTATCATTACATTACGTTACGTGTCGTTACATTACGTATCGTTACTCATTATTACGTATCGTTGCATTACGTATCGTTACGTATTATTACGTATCGTTACGTATCGTTACATTACGTTACGTATCATTACGTATCATTACATTATGTTACGTATCGTTACGTATTATTACGTATCGTTACGTATCATTACATTACGTATCATTACATTACGTTATGTATCGTTGCATTACGTATCATTACGTTACGTATCGTTACATTACGTATTGTTACGTATTATTACGTATCGTTACATTACGTATTGTTACGTATTATTACGTATCATTACATTACGTTACGTATCGTTACATTACGTATCGTTACGTTACGTATCGTTACATTACGTTACGTATCGTTGCATTACGTATCATTACGTTACGTATCGTTACATTACGTATCGTTACGTATTATTACGTATCGTTACGTATCATTGCATTACGTTACGTATCATTGCGTTACGTATCATTACGTATCGTTACGTATCATTACATTACGTATCGTTACGTATTATTACGTATCGTTACGTATCATTACATTATGTTACGTATCATTACATTACGTTATGTTTCGTTGCATTACGTATCATTACGTTACGTATCATTGCGTTACGTATCGTTACGTATCATTACGTATCGTTACGTATCGTTACATTACGTATCGTTACATTACGTATCGTTACATTACGTATCGTTACGTATCATTACATTACGTTACGTATCGTTACGTATCATTACATTACGTATCGTTACGTATTATTACGTATCGTTACGTATCGTTGCATTACGTATCGTTACGTATTATTACGTATCGTTACGTATCATTACATTACGTTACGTATCATTGCGTTACGTATCGTTACGTATCATTACGTATCGTTACGTATCATTACGTATCGTTGCATTACGTATCGTTACGTATTATTACGTATCGTTACGTATCATTACATTACGTTACGTATCATTGCGTTACGTATCGTTACGTATCATTACGTATCGTTACGTATCGTTACGTATCATTGCGTTACGTATCATTACATATCGTTACGTATCATTGCATTATGTATCATTGCGTTACGTATCGTTACGTATCATTGCATTACGTATCATTGCGTTACGTATCGTTACGTATCATTACGTATCGTTACATTACGTATCG